AGGAATGAACTTGCCTTCGGTTATTCTGGCCAGTAATTCGGGCTGTTCGCACTATGTTACAGCACATGCTCTGGATTCCTATTATACAGCAACACTATCATTACCATTCACTGGTTGTAAATAATGAATGTTGATATCCATCTTTAATGGTAGGCTGTGGGTTATCTTATTAACACATGTGAGATTACATCCAAGATAAACCCTCCTAAAAAACCTAAAGGGGCCATGACCCCTGACCCTGAGTGCAATAGGAGCTGATTGTATTATTAAACTAATATTAAGGATTTCAGGAAATATACTGTATTTTACTCAAATTGCACACTTTTTAGAACAGCTGTAAAATAGAGTATATTTGTAAATATTGTCATCATAGGGGAAATTATGTTTGTAATTCTAGGATATAAATATGACAGGGTTTCCATAGATTTGATAATGCTGAGAATCTGCATGAGACATTCAGATAATTCCAAAGCTGTAAATGTATGTGCTGACTGTGGGAGCATGTAACTGCTCTGTCTCTTCTCCCAAGAAAAACACTTGAAGAGAGACTGGGTCCTTTGTACATAGACGATGCCTTCCAACCTTTTTGCAAAACTAGTACTTACCTGGGGAACATCTGTCTTGCCATGAATGCCCAGGTCTGGTACCTAAAGCAGGACAGTTGGACTACAGGATTCAGAAGCTGCCCCCTTCAGCTTCCCTCATCTTTGAAAATGAAACTGGAGTAACCCTGGGGAACAGCAAGCAGGATGTGGTCCTTCTTCAAACAGCTTGGACAAATGGTCCATATTTACAATGTCCACATCAGTCCCTGCCACAGTATCTCAGCACCAAAAACTGTCAGTTTGCAGTGCATTTGACAACCAAGAGAGGTGGTCTCTGGTGCTGCAGAACATCTCGTTAGAGAAGAGGGAAACACAGAGCATAGGATAAGTTTCTACAGTGGTTTCCACAAGTGTTTGTATGCACAGTTGACCCCCAGGTATATCCAAATGAAGAAAAATACACACTGGTGCCACCTTTAATATAGTAAACCCCACATTCAGCCCCCACGTGCACCAGAGAAGAGACCACTTACTACTCCAATTTCAGCCTCTGCTGTATTACCCTAGAGAAGGTAAAGTGTAAAGATGCAGGGGTCTGCAGGGTCCCTGCATCAAGGACCAAAGGGATCACCTAAGCCTTGGTTCTCCAGCATGTAGTGCAGCTGTCTGCATTAGGAAGGCTCCTCTGCTTTCCTGCCATTCAACACTTAAGCACTCCAGATTGCGTGGAATGTATTTTTAAGAAAGGAAATATATTTTTTGTATTTGCAGATACTTGATTGGGCTGGAGGAGCTGGGTCCAGCCATCGTGTACAGGCAGATAATAAACAAAAGTCTCTTAGCTTCATTTACACACCTTCCATTTACTGCGAGTCCAATTCAAGATAATGTTGAGGTTCTAGGTTTCCCTGTGCCCCTAAACCAAACTCTGCTCTAGATAAACCACGAGAGCTACCAGAACTGTCCCCGACCCAAACAAAGAACTCCCTATCTAAGCATGTTCAGTAAGGGAAACCTACTCTTTCCTCCCCGAGCTGCCCATACACTGGATACAAATGGTGCTCTCCCATCATTACAGTGCTCCTAATCTGCATGGCAAAAGTAAACCGTCTGTCTGCATGTATCTCCTGACTTGAACGCTGTCAGCTCTACAGTATGTAACCAATAAAACTATCCCTTTGTACATGTCTGTGGCGTGTGTGTTATTTGAGGATGTAGCAGATCTCTTGCCCTAGTCTCTTGATTCAGCAGGTATTTAGTTTAATTATACTGGAAGTTAATATGGCCTCATCCAAGGTGCTCAGAGCACTGAATTAGGCACCGTTTGTACTCATCCAACTACTGTACTAATATCTGGCTGAATATATGATGAAGGCAAGTATCAAGCCCCCCTCCTATGCCTAGATTAATAATAAAGTTGAATATTTGGAGACAACTTCAGGTAATGCACACTTAACTGCCTCACCACAACCCTTAGCATGCATGGACATTTGAAAATGGGTTGCGGGGGGTGTCTCCTAGGAAAGACATTTATGTATAGGACTGCCTAGTCCAGCCAAGACGTACTGAGAGATGCAGTAATAGACAGACAGACCCAGGAGGTTGACTAGGTAGGAGGCCAGGAGTAAAGCCTGTTTCCCATATACGTGCCTTTGAAGAGCGTGCTCGATGACCCAGACCTTCCCAAGCACTTAATAGGCTCATCCACTTCTGAACAGCTCTGATGGGCTGTGACCAGGCCACCTCCTTGAACACTTAAGTCAAAACAACTAGATACAAAATTCCAGTATCAGTCTCAACAACGTTAAATACAGAGGTAAAATCATCTCCCCTTCCTGTCCTCGCTACTGCTGGTTTTACACATCCAAAATTGTGAACTCTTTTTGTCAGGGCATCATACTGATAATTCACGTTGAAATGCATGTCTAGTATAATCCCTAAACTCTTTTGAGTCAATGCCTCCAGGGTAGGGTCTCCCATTGTGTAGGGAGGGACTAGATTTTGGGGGGGTCAGAGTCACAAAGCCAAATGAGGCACCCTAAATAATCCTTAAGTTGCCTACATCCAACATTTAGAAGCCACTGCCATTCACAAAACTCCTACCCCAATCCTATCCATATCTAAAGACCCATGACACCTTTCAGCTTTTGCCAGCCAAATGCTAGAGGCCTACGGATTTGAAAAACAGAACATCCTTTTCTGCTACTAACAGACTGGAGGGTATCACATAAGGATGACCCAAAAAAGTCATTTTGCTTCCCTTCAAATACAAAACAAAAATATAAACTACTACAGGTTTTGCATCACCAGCACTTTTTAGTATTTTCATTCTGTAACAGACCTATCCCATTGTTTGGATTATATTTGTGCCTAAGAGTTGAACTCTGTTTCCTTAGTCTTACTGGGTACTGATTTCCCTCTGCTAGCAATCCACTTCATAGCTTCAAACAGAGACTGCTAACCACTGTTTCCCCCCACCACACCCCATTCATAACAATATCAACTTAAAAAAAAGAAAAATGCTGCTAACAGGTAAGTTTTGTGGCTTCTTCATCTATCAAATGAACTCTTCTTCAAGAGCAAGCAATTTTAATCATTATCTCTTAAGTTTTTCGTCCTAAATATTCTCTCTTGTAAACATCTCATCTTTGGGAAAATCAGTCTGCAAATAATAAAATATTAACCTGGTGTTCTAACTTGTGTTTGTCCATAATTAATATTAGTAGGCCATGCTTTTAAGCAACCGACATCGTTGGAATCATGAATACATCTTTTTCCTTTATAAAAAGATCCGAGTTACCTTGTCTTGTATTATTTTCTATATGGAAAGTGATACATTTTGTAAACTAATGATATTTTGTTACTGGCTGCATGCGACCCTAGGATATGACCCTAAACTCAAGCCCCCAGAATGAAAGAAGTATTACAACCGTGCTCAAAATGCAATTTATCCTGTTCCCCAGTCGGAGCTGGCTATTTGTAAGAGACCTCCAACACATACACAGACTCCATGTGTACAGTGATCTACATATATCCAAGGTCCTATGGTCTATGTTACCAATAACGTAAGGGTATAAACAAGCAATCAAACTGAAGAGTGTTTGAGGGGCAGGGACCGACAATAGGTGAGTGGATGTCCAGCAACTTGTTTGTGTGCCAGCAATTACACAGGTAGTGAAAATCAGCCCTATATTGCTCTGGTTTACCTTTCACTTACCAGAGAGACATTGCAAGTGCACAGTTACCAGACACTAGGTGTTCTGTGGTAACCTTTTCTCCTGTTAACTCTCAAATTCGATAGCTTGCCTATGCCCCTAAACAACTACAGTCTTTTCAGTGCTAACGAACTCCCATACGAGCTATCCTTCCTAAAGAGCTTATTTCAGATTTCAAGTCCTACAAATCAAAGAATCATAGTTTTGCAAAGGACCTCCAGGGTCACCTAGCCCAAGCCCCTGCACAAATGCAAAATGTGCTATTCTTGTACCATCCTAAATGTCTATCCAGCCTTTTCTTGAAGACCTCCAAAGGAGATTTGACAACTCCCCTGGATAGCCTGCTCCACTGTCCTAGTGTTTGGACAGTAAAGGTTTTTCTGCTATATAATCAAAATCTGCGTTGCTGCAGTTTAAACCCACTGCCTTGTGTTCTGTCCTCTGTGACAAGGAAGAAGAGTTGTTCTTTCCTCTTCTTTACAGCAGCTGTTCAAATGTTTGAAAAGCCTGTTATATACCCACTTAATCTCCTTTTCACCAAGCTAAACGTACTTATTTCTCTCAACTGTTCCTCTCAGCTTGCATTTCAGCCTCTTTATCAGCTTTGTCACTCACTTTTGGATCCTCTCCAGTTTCTCCACACCCATCTTAAATTGCAGGGCCCAGAACAGCACATGATACTAATTGAAGTCTAACCACTGCCGAGTACAGTAGTACTGAGGATAGCAGTACTATCACCTCCTGCCTTGCATACAATACTTGTGTTAAAGCAGCCCTAAACTGCAGTTGTATCCCTAGCTTCCTTCTTAATACGCCTTTCTAGTTCTTCTCATTACCCAGCCTCCCAGCCCTGGCAGGCAAGCATTTTGAAGAGTCTTCCCCTCCGATTCTTTGCATCTCAGCTCATTCTGTTCACAGCAACATCCTCCTCACTACTGCACAAAGTCTGCTAACAGGGAAGGTGGCAGCCTGCACAGCTAATCTGTTACCTTGCAAACCTACACAGAGATTAAATGAAATGGTCATCAGAGAATGGTGTTCATTTGATACTCTCCTTCAAGAGAATGTGTCCGCTGCAGAATTAGCCCGAGCTAACCTACTACTTCTGACCAGGTGAGCACAGATAAAACATCCCCATTTCAAAGCCCCACCTGTGTCAAACCTGTGTAGCTATGTCCACACTACTAGAATAGATTTCTCTTGGTTTCCATGGTTCTCAGAAACCTATTGCATGGGGCTGCTCTACGATTATATTTACATAGTGCTCACCTTTCCTTAATATGGCCCCGACTCTGGCAGTAATGAAAATAAAACTGTCAACAAGATTACAGGGGAATTTCTCATTAAAGGGAGAAAGTGAAAGTAGATGGAAGCAAGTACTGAAATAATTCAGTCTGTAATTCACAAAGCAATCTGCAGTCTGACTGATTTCTTTACCTTTCTGTTTCTTTCCTGTCCACTAAAAACACCATTTTGGATCTTATTAATTTCACGCTGGTGCTTTACAAGAAAGTTTCTGGCAAACTCACCGTGTAAGAAAATTTTATTCAATGCCATCACCATTCAACTACTGTGGAAGTAGCATAGAAATGGAGCCAGCAAACATGAGATTAAAACTCTCTGTAGCAGAAAGGAAAAACAAATACCAACCATGATTTACTTAAATGAGGTGGCCCTTGATTGCATCTGTGAGATGTTGGATAGCATTGTAGAGCTATTGCGAGTGCAGCCGATTCCAACTGAGATAGTTTAGTATGAAACAAATGGCAACAGAGATTAGGCACTATTCCCTCATATATATACAGTTCTCCAAACCACAATTAAACACAAATGCCCCATCCTCGCACATGTCCTGGGAGAAGAAAACAGATTTTAGTATATAGGATGCTCCATTGAGCAGAAACTCCTAAAAAGATCACGTTCTTTATTGCAGTAACACTGGAACCCAGATGGAGTGTTGCACAATTTCACCATCTACAGAGATCACAACTTTTTTACATCACCCCATTAATATTTTTTCTGCCACAACTACCCAGGCACTGCCGAGATGGTGGCAGGCTCTGACTCATGGGGATGAACACACTCTGGATCTGCCATTTGAACCAGGGGCTCAGATCCAAACGAGGGATGGCTATTACTTCTTTGTGATAACCTGGCCATTTTCTCCTCTGATTGGGATCCAGCTGCATCCATCTTGATGGTGGAAGCAACTTATGAAGACAGGCTCATTTTCAGAAGCCAGTCTCTACTAGCAAGTTGCTGAGGTGGATGTTCTGATGGGCGATTCCATTAAGAGCTTGGCAGGATTATGATTTCTAATACCCAACTGTTTTATCTTCTATGGTAGAGTTCCCTAAATACTGTCTACCACCTTTGTCTTCAGAGGTCAACAGGTGCAGATGACCTGTGACACACCGAGTGAGAAGGGAGTTTGCTAGAGCACAGATAGCAAAGGACTAGCCCTACCCAGTCCAACCCAAGGCAACACAGAAGCAAAGAAAACTGTTTCCATCATAGCATAACTACTCTGCATGGTTGACAAGGGCAGAATTGTACACAATAGGCTAAATTTTAACTGCTAAAAGCTATACTTTACACTGGAATTGAATAAAGCAGTGGGACAAAAACAAGACAGAGACCTGATCAATGACTGCCAGCAAAGGGGGCAGAACTTACACAAGCATTTGCATGTGTATAACACAAATGAAATTTTGGGTGTTAGATCCAGGGCTGCTCCTGGGTGCCCTGGCAGTTGTCATGGCCAAAGGAGTGCTTTTCCATCCATGTCCAGCAAGACGCATGAAAGTCTGTACTGATGCATAATTAGCAGGAACACTGCCACCTCAAGGTTAGATTGCTACAATGATTTTTCCTTGGGACCATTTCAAAGGTGAAGCTACTACAGAAGGCTGCAATTCCCTTGTCACAAATGTGCACATCAGGCCAATACTCCTATGTGCATGGTCTTTCAATGAGCTTCTGGTATTTAAGATGCACTTACACAAAGTGATTTGAGATTAGTTACCCCAGAAACCTGTCAGGGTAGGGAGGCTGCTGGGAAAGCATCCTTTAAGAGTGAGTTACCAGGGTCTAGATTTCTCCAGGACAAGGGGACAGCGAGTGTGTTTGAAAAATTTCAGCACTCTCACTGAGTACTGTTCCCACTGTGATTATTACTGCTCTAGCTCCATTCAACATTTCTCAGACCTACCCGAGATTCACAGATCCTCTTCAGATCTTTTCCAGGGTAGTAGCTGAAGTAAAAAGGACAATCCTTATAACAAGCCCTCTTCATTAGACACTTCTCATAATTACATTATCTTAATTTCTACTTCTCTGGATGGTCAAATCTGCTACTGATCTTATTCAAATGACCTGCACTTCAGTTAAGTTAAATCCACTATCCAATACTCTACAAATATCCAGGAGTGTCATTTTGTTTCTATCACAAACTAGTTTGGTACTTCTGTTAAAGGTCCATTTAGCCAAAGACTTTTGTATGAATCCCGGCCTCCTTCCTACCGGCTGTCCGATGATCGTGCAGCGGCTGAAGAGCTATTTGGAAAGGGTGTTGCAATCAATGTTATTTGAAGCTCTGCTGTTACTGGTGAAGAAACAGATGCACTAATTTCATTCTCAAATGAAAAAGAAAAAGAAATGAAACTTGATCAAAAATATTTTTTTTTTCCAAAACAAAATACACAAAAAAATCCACATAAAGACAAATTCTACATTGGTTGTTACAGAGAGCAACTGGCTGCTTGAGAGTCTAAACCTTTTCTGCAATTCTTGACCTGAGAACACATGGGTAAGTTCCTCTTGTGCTAAAAGAAATAACTACACAGACCCAGGACCTAATTTCCAACTGGATTTGCAGTCACAGGAATTCCTGACTGGCTTGGCAGTAAGAGGCTCTGTATACATAAACACTGGGGCAAAGAGGGAGAAGGGGATCTGTGAATCAGTGAAAAGAGAATAGGTGTCTCTTTCAAGTGGGCCATGAGGGGGAAGGGGAAAGGGGATGCCCTTAAAGTGGCTTCTGGCTCAGTCTTTTCAGTGTCTACTGCTACAGACTACGAAGATATCTTGGTCCCAGAAACAACACCACCACAAACGCACCTATGATCTCATTGCTCTCTTATCCTGGCAGCTTGCAATCTTCCTTACATGCTAGCAGCCTGTTGTGGTGTGGGCACCCCAGGTGTAGCTTGGCGAGGCAAAGTATACATTGCCCCAAGAAACTGGTCTGCAATGCGACCTGCTTCTCTCAGTCCACTCAGAAGAGCACCATGGACAGTTGCAGGGTAGTTACGAATGGTATGTTCTCCTGCAAAGAACAGGCGAGGAATTGGCTAGGAAGGAAAAAGAAAGCACATTGTGTTAAAATTTGTACAGGTTTTTTCAGAAATACTTTTTTTTTCCTGCAGAACCACTTTAAAATAATCATCTCTATATAGCTCAAGGCTGTTTTATGCACAATTTATTATCTCTACCTATCAGAAGTTTTAAGCTTTCCTGCAACAAATGCAATTTCCCCAAAGAGAAATCCTCATGCATCTCCAAACCCACAAACTCTCTCAAAATTTCTCTCTCTCAGCATGGGAAAACTTTCTTGCTACTTCTAGATAGCTCGGCAAGAGTTCAAAGAGAAAGATTATTACTGAAAGCTTTAAGAGCCAAAAATTGGGCAGGAGAGGGAACAGAGAATCCCATTTTTAAAAGCTGGTTGAACATTTCTATAATATCATAAATCAGGGGTAGGCAACCCCCAGCCCAGGTGCCAGAGCATGGCATGCAAAGGCATTTTGTCTGGCACATGCACCTCAAGACGGACAGCAGGGAAGGTGCGGGGCTGTGCTGCCACAAGGATCAGCCCCTTTGCAGCTCCCCCACCATGCACCCCTGACCCTCCAACATCTTACAAGTTGAGGTTGCGGGTGTTTTTGGCAGTCTGCCCAACAATGTTGCTGACCCCTGTCATAAATAGCACTTTTTCCCCCATTCAGGCTAGGTCCATAGGAGAATATTTTCAAATAACATTACTGTATATGCTTCCTGACATTACAGATATGACCACAGAAACAAATAATGGAACTAATCTTCTGTTGCAAAGAACTCAGAAACAAAACAGGTAAGAATATTTTTGACACTATGACTTCCCATTTGAAATGTATGCTGTCGGCACATTTAACAGTGCTAATACTGAGCAGTACCCTTAAAAGGATCTCATAGCACCTTGGTTGAGAATCAATGCTTTACAGGATCAGTAAGAGACTTCCGTTTAAATGGAAGATTTGGAAACACAAATCCTTTGTTTTTTACTGTAATAGTATTAACAGAATCAAACAGCAAAATATTTTGACGGTATAGTTCCCAGCCAAAAACGGAGGTTTATGCAGTTTTGCTGAAGTTTGCAACAGAATAAATTATTGAAACAAATCAATTCCAATCATTTCACTAGGATATTTCATTTAGACTTGTATTTACTAGATATAAAATACAGTAAAATGCTAAATATATTTTTTACATTATCAAAATGAAATATCTCACATTTCTGAGTCAAAGTCTCTTAGAGGAATAAAGTCTGAAATTTTCAATGTTTGTTGCAATTTGGAACAAAAAGATGTTTTTAGGTGCTGGGATTTCCTGTGGGACAAATTCCATTTTCCAACCAGTTCTAGGCATTATCTGGAGATAATAATTTAATACTCCTATTTCTCAAATACCTTTTAAAACGCATAGTCTCTTAAAATCTCATACAAGTCAATCCTAATAGAATTTTTACAGCCTCACCTGGGGAGCACCTGGAATGGCTGGACCAGGAGTAATTGGCTGAGCCATCAAATCATAATCATTTCCAGAAGATCCAGCTGCTACATAGGAATAGGACCCTCGGGCCCATGGGTCAGCGCGCCAGCGGGACACCACAGTCTCTTTGGGCTGAAACAAGAAAAAGTTCCATTACAGATGACACTGAAAGCATTTATGATACCAAATTTATGAACAGATTACAAAGGGGAAAAAAAAGCATGAGACCCCCTAAGAGTTGTTTCTTTTTATTTGTGAGTATTTTTTAATGCAGAGAAAATAAAGTTCTTTGAAATATGTTGTTCATAAGTACACTCCACTATAGATAGGCATAAGCTCAGACATTTTGCTTAGAGGTATCCATATGGCACTGTGCACCACGGTCCCAGAGTGGTTACATACTTCCTACTCTTGAGTTTACTCAGGATACAATCAGCAGAGTACCCTGGTTCGGGAAGGAAAGCTTGGTAAGAGCGGGGTGTGGAGGGCTGCAGAAAAATTGAGCAGTAATCTCCACACAATGCTGGCTCATTCCAGGGAAGAGTTAAAGTGTGCTTTATTATCTCCCGGTCTCCAAGAGCAAGGTACTTCTACTTCAAGATGTGCTCATGTAGCTGTGTTCTGATGTTTAAAGACAACCCCCATTTCTCAAAGTTTTCTTCATAGTTTGTGCAGCCTCTCCACCAGGCCAGGTCTACATGCAGCACCATTTCCTCAAGCATTAGGTCAGCACAAGCTACAGGGCTTCCCACAGCCACAGCAAAGAGCAATTTGCTTTAAACAATATGTAGAATTATATCCTTGAGAATTGTGACAGCCTGCAGGTTTGAGGTAAATTATGGCCGCCTGACTTTTCCCAGCCCTCTGAGAAAATCTGGAGAGGGTCCCATGGAAGTCCAAGTGAATGGTGCCCTCTCCTCTCCAAGTAGATCCCATCCCATGAGGTCAAAAAAGGTGCTCAAGTGTGACAAACAGACATGGATCTCAATCCCAGAGCTTTTTGACATACGTACTTAGTCTCAGGAGCCTGGATCAAACATGAAGAGATTCTGGAGTTATAATGCAAAAACGTGTATGGAGGAGCTGTAACTTATCAAGCTGGACAAATTTAACTAGGATTTATTTGCTTCTCGGGGCCAGCATCTGCAGTGGTTGCTGCTCCTTGTGCTATTGCTGAGGTCCCAAGGGCACTGTCTGAGACTGGAGCTCTGTGAGTCACCAGACTAAGGCAGAAGGGAAAGATCCAGGAAAAGATGCTGGCAGACCTGGTTGCAGATAGGAGAGCAATTGCTGCAGAAGTATGGTGCTTCTGCAAGAGAGAATGGGCATACACCCTCCTAAAAGCACTGCTAAGGCAAAAAAGGTCTTGAAGCTCAGGCATATGTGAACCCACAGTGGAAAAGGCATATGGACAACAGGCCAAAAGAGGATAGGAGATCAGATCAGGAGATATACCAGCAGATACATTTAGGAGAAAAACAGTACAGATATTTTTCACAGAAGGGGAGGGTGCTTTATAACCAAAATCAGATAGATGATTTGCAAATAATTTTTCACCTCTTCAGAACTCTCTCTCCAGAGCTGTGACTGCACACCGCGTGCACAAAAAGCCAACTTTGTGCACTTTAAGATGCAACAGTTTCAGCAGAAAGGGCAAGAAACTACCTTCAGTTGTGATTGAAAAGATAGAAGAAGCTCTTTGAGTCTTGTGAGGGACTTTAGGATCCTTGGTCAATACGATCAGATCAATGTTTTCCCAGTTTTAGAACAAAGGTGGCACAGTATGACCCCCATCTCATTTTTAAAATAGAGGACAAATTATGGAATATGATTATCATATAAAAACGGAGCTGGAAGAGACCTCAGGAAGTCATCTGAGTCCAACCCCATACCCAAGGCAGGATCATCCCTGTCTAAACCTTTCCAGGCAAATGATTCTTTTAATCTTGCAATTAAATTTTTTCAGTGAAAGATGACATTTATAAGGCTCTGGCAATCTGAAAATATCTAGCTTGCTTAAACAAACTTGAAGTTATTCTCTCCCTATACTAGGCAGAGTTCCTACCCCTTATCACTGATGCTGAATGTGCTTGTCACCTGACAGAGTGATCCTTTTTGTGAAGAACAAAAGAAAAGAAGATTGACGTAAGAGAGGCTGCAGCACTTCAGCCTTTTCTACACTGCCCGTTACTAGCTTCCCTTCTCTTCAGTAAGGGATTTCTATTTGCCCTGGTTTTCCTCTTGCTTCTAATGTATTTATAGAATTTTTTTTTTGGTTATCTTTTATGTTCCCTGTTAGCTGTAAATATTCCTGATTTTGTCCCTCTACACTCGTAGTACTCCACTTTTTGGGGTTTAGTATTTTAGTCAAGTTGCAAAAAAGGAATCTTACAGAAAGTGCCAAGTCATTGAAAAGCTTGTGATCTATTCAACTAGATATCCTGCTATGCTTCCTATCCTTAATATCTTTTAAAGGAACTTCTTCCCTTAAGTTTTGCCTCTCATGGGATCCTGCCTACCAGTTCCACGTTTGTTAAACTTTGCTTTTCTGAAGACCAGTGTTTTATTGTACTGCTTGTCTCTGTTTCCTTAGGATCATGAAATATATGATGACTGTGAACACCATCACTCAAGGCATCTTCTACCTTCAGATTCCACCAGTGTTTCCTTATTAGTGAAAAAGCAAATAGAGACTCTCTCTCCATAACTGGACTCTACCATATATAGCAAAAAGTTTTCCCCAACATAATCTAAGAATTTGCAGAACCAATATATTTAGACATATGATCATTTAAATATTAATAACTTATTATTAACATTAAATTAAAAGCATGGATGTAGTGTTAGGTCTTCTCTAAAGGCATTAACAGTTTGTTACTTCTTCATAAAAGTTCCCTGAAGGAAGCCCAAAGATAAAATGCCAAAGTTAAATGCATCGTGTCATTCTAGTTTACATATAGATTTAAGGCTGGTCAGATTACAAGTAGCACTGGCAATGGAATAATTCAAAATCCATCTAAAGCCCTAGTCTCTCTGTCATTTTGCAGGACCACCATTGCTTTGATAGGTGCATTCCATAAATTAATCTGATACAACAATAGTTGGCACTCTTGGATTCCTTGGAGGCAAAGCATCATGCCAACCATGGTGTAAGCACCACACTCAGACGGATAACATTATCACTTAATACAGACTGTGATGTTCTAAAAAAGCAAAGAAGGATATGGACAGACGTACTACCTGTGGGACAGCACTACTGCCAAATATGCCTTTTAGAATCGCCAGACAGCGCCCAACAATGACATCATCGCTGATGTTTTCCATGATTCCAGCTGCTTCTCCAGCCACTAATGCTAAAAGAATTGGAGCTAAGGAGAAAAGAACAAGGCATCAATACTCAACATATTGGCAATACAATACAGCAGTATTGGGATGGGGTAGTAGAGCATTAATTCAGTAATGTATATCATCATAAGGCAAATACTTCACTTGGAAAAAAAGAAAAAAAGATTTAATGAAAAGGAACACTTTAAGGACACTTCTCAGTTGGGGCAGTTTGAAGGATTAGATTACTAAAATCATCGTGTATTATCTGTTCAGTAGGAATGATCAAATAGGGATGTTTGTATTAGGATTTTATAAGGAACAGCATTAGGCTGGAAAATATTTGGTAAAATTTGAGGATGACAGATAGACAAAGCAATCTGTATTACTTGGTAAGCTAGGTCCAAAAGTCTTTTATTAAGTCTTCTTCACAGTGGAGGACAGTTGTCTTCTGTGACTGCCTTATCTGTAGATCCAAACATGGCTGACAAGACCAATCCAAGACTGGCAGACTCTGCTGCAACTCAAGCACGTGTTTCCGTGCTGGGTGGTGGCTCTGGATTCTCGATTCAATCTGCAACATGCTGTTTCTGCCGCTCCCGCCCTTCCGTTTCCTGTTGTCGTCATAAGGTTTCAAAGCACTGAGATCCTTGCAGCAGATTCTTCCTCCATTCAGGGCAGTACTGGGTGATAGTCTCCCACGAGTTTATCAATGTTGCATTTTTTCAAGCTGGCCTTAAGGACATCCTTGAAGTGCTTTCTCTGCCCCTCCTCCGAAGCTTATGCTTTGACTGAGCTTGGAGAATAAAATTTACTCCAGACTTCTGAAGCCAGACATCTAGATGATGTGGCCAGCCCTGCAAAGTTCATGTTGGATGGTCATTGCCTCGATGCTCATGGTGTTCGTTTGCGAGAGGATGCTAATGTTGGTGCATCTGTCTTCCCACTTGATTTGAAGGATCGTTCACAGGCAGCGTTGATGGCACTTCAACAACCTGAGGTGTCTCCTGTATGTTATCCATGGCTCAGCTCCATACGGTAAAGCAGGGATCACAACTGCTTGATAAACCATGATCTTGGTTTCAGATTAGATGTCGTGATCTTTCAACATCTGTTTCCTTAGGTGTCTGAAGGCTGCACTTGCACATTTGAGGAGATGCTGGATTTATTTTGGCATCATCATACAATGACGAGATGGCTTCCACGAGAAATGGCTTCTGAGGTACAGGAAATACGGAACATTCTCAAGAATCTCACTGTGAATCTGAGTTACAGGAGCTGGGGATTGCTTAGCTTGTTGATGGAGGACCTTAGTTTTCTGAATGCTAAGTGCAAATCCCATTTTCTTGTAGGCCTTGGTAAAGATGCTGACAATTGCCTGAAGGTCTGCTTCCAAGTGACCACACATTACAGCATCATCAGCATGCTGGAGCTCAATTTTATTAGTACAGTCAAATACAAAATGCAGAACTGTGTCCTAAAAAGAAGTGACTCCAAAACTAACTGTCATAGAGAAAAAGCAATTCAACAGCTAAGCTTCTAGTGCAATGCTATGACAAAAAGAGCTAATGTGATCCTTTATGTATAAATGGAAATATTGGGAAGGATTACAGCAGTGATTTAACCTCTATCAGTTTCACTAAAGCTATGCAAAATGTGTCCTGTTCTGGTCTCTAGATTTAAAAGAAGGAAGGAGTCAGTTGACCTGTATTCTATATCCAGCTCTGTTCCTGACTTGTGACTGTTGGCAAGTCACTGCTCCTTTCTACTGTAGACTGCTCATTTAGAACATGGAAATAGCAATCTTCTGTAATTTACAGATAAGGAAGTAGCATCTATAAAGTGATCCTTCCAAGTTCTGCTACTGTGTAGAAGCGAACATGATAAAACTTAACAGCCAACATAGTTACCTTTGTAGAGATTCCAGAAAAGGAAAAGTTCTCCTCTGCTGGCAGTAGTGCTGCCAACATGTCCAAACAAATTGACACTTGGATCCCAGAAGACACGGTCAAAACACAACACCACCTATAAAAAAGATGAAGGCTCAAGCATTAGGAAGACCCAAAACAGAATGCAATTATCCTCTACACAAATTTCAGCAGTGAAAGCTTAGAATTGGTTTAAAACTCAGCTTTTACAAAACACTTTGTATACACTGCACGTCATATGGAAGCACCCAAGGCAGTCTGAAAATTCGCTACATAGAAAGATTAGTTCATCCACTGCTAAAACATGGCAATTGTAGACCAGTCCACAACTACCACACACTAGCTGAGATGAGGTATGGAGAGCTCCTTATTTCAATTCTTTGTTCAAATAGCTCTTTGCATATATTTCTCAGAGTAAGGACCTAGGAAGAAAAGGAAGTGGAAGCAGACTGTTTCTCCCCAATGCAACACATTTTAGAACCTGTTTATTGTACTCTTGCATTTCCTCCTTCTGTGCCAAGTCACCTTGTTCAGGTTGCCAAATCCCATCCTCTGCACTGCAGACGTTTTCCACTCAGGAAGAGGAGGCACAAACTGTACAGCAGGTGGCTGTTGTTTCAGCACTCCCAAGGGAAGAGTGCACAGGACAGCATCACATTTATAAATAAAAGTCTGACTAGTAGAGCGGGTGTTCACAGCTATCACTTCACATCCTGGAAAAGGAGGGGGAAAAATAGAGGTTCATTCACTTACTAGTCCTGTGAGAGAAACAGTGTATGATCTTGCAACGAAGAAAAACATATGCAGACCCTTAACTGGAACCAGAACAGGTTGCATAGACAACATCAACTCCACCATTATTTTAACTTTTAAGTACTTGAATTCACAACATTAACCTTATTGACCAAAATTAGAATACCTGTAATACCCTTCAGAACTGTGCCTACTGATACTATGCAAATACTCTTCATGAATTTTTTTGCCCCAGAGTTTTGCCAGTCCAGACAAACTTATTTCATCTTACTAGAAAAGGTGACAGGAACCCAAAGGAAACTGAAGGCAGGGAATAGCTTGCATAGTGCCATGACACAGGAAGATATTTCACTAACAACTTTTTGTGTTGGTTGGACAGTGCAAAATGCAGGAGAACAGCATTAGCCTGCCAAAATATTCAGGCAAGAAGCTTCCAAAATACTGCTATCTTGGTTTCCTTTAATTCTCTCCAATTAGCTTGTTTTCTGGTTGCTGTCTCTTCCTATGAAAATGTTCTCACGGTAACTTAGACTGAGCTCTGAAGAAATCACAGGATTCTTCTATTTTTTTCTCCTCATTTAGTCATTTTTTGTATTATTGCAGCACTTATCAGCTTCAGCCTTGGGTCAAGATTCCTTTGTGCTGGATGCTATACAAACACTGAATGATCCTGTCATGCTTTTGCTCCCAGTTACACTGTGGTGCCATTCTATTTCCAAACGCAAGCTTTGGAAAGAGAGCATTAAGGTTGTAACAAATCAGTAATTCAAGGTAAAATACATTACAGAGATGGCTCAAAACCATGCATTTTAAATCCAAGAAAATCAAATATGCTTTAATTTTAAAAACTGTTTCATTAAAGAATCCAAACAGCCCCAATTTTAGTGTATAGCAACACCATGACATAACAAGATAAGCAAGTCATTTTAGTGTGTGCAATCCCAAACTAAACTATACAGTTTTTTTAACGACACATTAGACTGACTCTCTTCCTCTCCCATTGAGTCACTAAAATGTAGAACATAATGAGCCAACTTTACGCTTGGTACACTGCGCTGCATCACCATGTCCTTTGCAACTGGATTTTGACACATGATCATTAATACCAGCCGAGAACACTGATGATGGCTTAAGGCTCACAAGGTAGAAATGGGTTAGATGAAGAGATCTTATTTCTAATAGAAGAGTTGACAGGTACCAGTTTTTTGCAATCAACTAACACCTTCAATCAGTAAAATGCAGGTGACTGTAGTTACCAGAAGGGCCACACTGATCAAAAGGGCAAACAATCCACAAGAAAAGGGAATCTCCTAAGAGCATCCCCAAAGAACCAGAGCAGGCCAAGGAGGAGTTTCATCAAGAGAATTTATCCATTTGGCAGATGATCTAAAAGCTACACACAGATGTGTTTTCACAGATCATTTAACACAACTGCCATATCAAAGACTTTGAAACTACAGGATTCACCCTCCCTCAAGGGACAGAATACTGATAAAGAGGGATTATACACTGTCCATCTTGACAAAGATGTAGCACTGATTCTGCAGCTGTGCAAACTTTGGACTCCTTTCCTCCATTACTTGTTCCATCAACCACAAAAGCACCCCAGATCCAGAGATACAGGAGCAATATCCTTGAAGCCTTTGGAGCACAAATAAGCATTTGTGCTAACCCTTCTTTAACCTGGCTTCAAGGTTAGGATGTATGATGGTGAGATCATCAGATGATCTTACCAGGCACTGCTTTTCTGGGCGACTCTGTACTCATAGTGTAAGAAGCACATGAAACCTGTTACCTGGCAACTGTCAAATGATAATGTTACTCTGTGGAGCAACTTCTCAGGTTAGGTTTCGTTTACCTGAAGCTGTGTAGCGAACCTGTCGAACTGCTGTGTTTAACTTAATGTCCAACCCTTCTGCTAAGGCAACAGGCACACAAGAATATCCATTCCTCACAGTCAAATGACTGCCTGTGAATTCGAAGTCATCATCCTGAAATGAAAATATAAAAAGTAATTATAACTAAGTCATATCAATCAATGAAGGGATAAATGAATGGGCACAGTAACCCGTTTGGTATAAATACCAGAACTTTTTCAGGTAAAAGTGATGTTCCCTACAGCAAATTAAAAAATATTAACTATGGAAAGACCATGTGTATGTTAACAGAGCCATATGAAACACCATCAGTAAAAATGTACAGACCTCTGTAATTCTCCAAAAGAAATACTGGAAAAAAGAGTTGAAGGGATAACACTGAGGTGCATCCTATTTAAAACTTAGAAATGACTGATATTACACAGAAATAGAAGTTATGAATTGGCTACCTGGTCCCAGTGCTTCAGTGAGAGTGTAGACAGAGGCGTTGCATTAGCAAATTCTAAATTAGCAAAATGCCAGTCAAGTATCTGCCTGTCCCTTGAGGATAGATACACGTCACTAGAAAACAAATAGTAAAAGAAAGTTTGACTTTGTAGCGACTGAAATTCTGCAAACATTTTTCTCTCAAAGGATGCAGGTAGATCCTACTTCCAAAGATCATGACTTTCTACCTGAAAACAGCACTTCTGGAAATAAGTATGGTGAAACAAGGATTAATATCAAGCTATTTAACCAATGTAGGAGTAGACAGAAAATATAATACATCTTCAGTTAAATTGCAGCCACAGCAGACTTCCCCTCTGTGATAAATAGTTACACACATTACTTTAATTCCAGTCTAGGACCAACAGCCCAACTAACTTTTGTACACACTAAAAATGGTTCAAGACCCTGTGCATCTTTCTAATATTTTAAATTGTAAGTCTGATAAGAGTGCATAGTTGTCGATAATACATTTTTAAAAGAGAGAACAGGGTGCATTGATCCAAACATTTTTGGAACTATTTGTCGACAGAATGTGTTCAAACTAAAGTATAAACTTCTTTGTATTCCCAGACAAAACACATGGAAATGGAGGAAAAGATAGAGACTATAAATCACATGTACCCAAAATTACTAACATAGGGGTACTGCAATTATTCACAAACTAAGAACTGGAAGTACAGAAAATGTTCACATTTAAATCTCAACTAAAATTCAAACCTAATCGAGGGAAAAAAATGCAAATTTTCAGAACCCTAACAACCTGGATCATGTCCTATAACAACAGCATATCATTTCCACACAAATTAAAACTTGCAAACATTTTAGTGTTCCTGGTCCTAAATTAAACTGATTTGTGTTTTATTCATTTCTGTTGCATGATTAAGGGGCAGTTCTGCCTCCTTCTAACTCCCTTCGCATTTTGATTATTCCTTCTCTCCTCTTTAAAGAGCAGATTTGGAACACTATAAATTTTGAGATTAATGGCATATAAGCTTCTCCAAACACATACTTATGACCCCAGTCCTATAAAGAACAACGAGAGAGGTCTGCTATTTAAAGAAGAGTGGCAATTCTATTCAGACTGCACTCAATATTTTTCAGCTTCTATAGGAGAAAATTAAGTTATTTTAGTCCATTTTACTTATCTGCAGTGATATAGAAAGTCTTCATATACAAAATATATATGAGGTATGAAACAGTTTTAATTCAGGACTATAGAAGGTACGATCCAGATGCTCAAAGGATTTTAGCTGCTTGCCACTGCTGAAGATTTATGTACATGAACAGCAGCTTTAAGGAGCTGAGCCCAAGTTCTTTTATTTCTCTGTTTGTTCAGCACTTCAAAATGTGATCATAAACAGGAAATCATCGTTGAGCAGATACACTAGATGGGTCCAGCAGGGATTGACTCTTGGTCCTATACTATTTAAACAACCCAAAGAAAACTTAATTAAAACTACTGATAAAATTTGCAAATGACAAAAGACTAGAGAAGTAGAAAAGAATGAAAAGAATGGGTAACTGATGCAAGAGCAATCCAAAGCAGTGGGTAAATTAGACCCATAGCACATACGGTTTGCTTAATATGGCCCAAAGTAGTAGTAATATATAATCGACAAAGAATAAAGGCCATGTTTACCATGTGGGTGATTATCCTAGGAAATAGTGATACTGGAAGGAAAAGGAGATAAAGATGCAGGTTCACAGTGGATAACCAAAAGGGATGCATGAAGAAGAAGATATCAAGTAGGATGAATGCGGTTATATTACATATGCACCTTGGACTTGTGACTGCTGCTGGATACTACATCCAGCATTTATATAAACAATTCAAGGGACACTTTTATAATTTGTAGTGTTTTAGAAGAAAAGCTGAGGAATCTGTACAGCATGATGCCAAAAAGCATCTACACGTACCAATATTCGGGAATTTTCATTAATGGGTATTGCAAGGATTTTTATTCAAAGGTTTAAGTCAGGCCACTAGTTACAGCCGGGGTAACCATATCAATGGGACACCCCACTGGAGAAAGACTTTTAATGTTTTATTAGTCACTGGTAAAATTGGAGAACACTGATTTTCTGAAACTGAGGACACTCAACCTTCATGCAACTGCATCCAGCTAACAAAGTATAATACAAGACCACTAAATATTATTTCTGCAAAAAAGGTGCAACCTAAATGGAAGTTACTGTCTTTCCCAAATCTTCTCAATCTAGTAAAACCAAAATTACCCATCCCCCCACCAGCTGATGTTTTTTTTTTTACCTTGGTGGATTAGCCTCAAGTTCTTGGAGTTTCTCTTCCAGCTTGCCCTGCGTTTCAGCTAATTCATCATACTCCTAAAAAAAATTAAGCAGATTCAGAGCAGATATTAGTCACGATTTTTTCTTCAAAGTATAACAAGCAATAACTGAAGTTTATACTGCAAACCTGTTGCATTACAAAAGGTCACTTTCGCAACAGCTCAATGACAGAGGTATGTTCTGGATGCATTATCCCACACATAAAACTGAACCAACCCCACCCCCCACTATTTTAACGAAATATAAAAAAATATTTAAAAACTCCCAAGTTGGGAAAATTAAATTTATTAACATTTTATATTACAGTAGCGCCCGTTATTACTTATAATATAGGACCCCCAAAACATTGATCAGAATAAGGTTTGAGCCAATTCCTAATGAAGCCAGCAGAAAGACTAAAAGGCATGTTTTGCTTCTGCAATACCCATTTATGCAGTAAAATACATAGACCAATATAGAAATGTTTACATTCCTGGAATCTTAGCATATCAAACAATAAAAAAAAACCCCCAAAATCCATTAAAATCAGAGAATGTCAGGGATTCTCCTTTAGACTTTGTGGAGTGAGATAGTATATGGTTCTCCTAGCTATTGGAACTGGACAATTTTGCATGGGACGTACTTTAACCAAATAATATAGTGCTAGCCTCCTAGCATATTAGTAAACGGTCTCTGTTGGAAAACCTGTAGAACCATAAAACAAAGAGCCAGGACTCAAGTGATTAGATACGAGAAGCAGATGACTTCAGGAGCCTTTGGATTCTGCCAAGCAACAGAACTGGGTCTAGGAATCAAGGCAACCAACCCAAGCAGGTAGCACCAAAAGAGCACTATCAAAAGAAACTACTCATCCAACTGAAGAAGCAAAGTTGCCATAAACAGAGCTCTGTTTGGGGCAGATGTCTTCATAACCACAAGTTTCGTATATGTTGTTCAATTACAGACATTTTGGCCTCGCGGGATAGGCACTTCTCCATAAAACCATACTTTTTCCAGAAAATCATCTCATCATCTAGTAGTAAGATCCAGTGCCAAAGCTGAACTGTAATCTAAGCGAAGAACGGCATTTTGTGCCCAAAAGCCTGTCCGATACCTCTTCCCAACTATCCAGCTGGTCTAATAAAAGATATCACAAAAAGCTCTTAGCTCAATGCTTTGCTATTAGGGCTGTGCGAAGCTTCAGTTACTGATTCAATTCGGAGGAGATTCAGCGGCCAAATCTCCAAATCAAATCAGGAGACCCGTTAATCTCTCCGAATTGAATCGGAAGCCTTCAAATAGATTTGGAGAGATTAGATGATTTGGCTATAGACACAGGTTTATATGTTTTTTCTAGGTACCTTGAGGTACCAGGCGTGGCTTGTGAAGGGCGAGATGCTGGGGCGGACAGAGCATCCCACGGGAGCGTGGGGAGTCCCCCACATGCTCAGCGGTGGACCTGGAAGTAGATGCACAGCACTGCCGGGTCCGCTGTGGAGTGCACGGAGGACCCCACATGCAAGCACCGGACGGCCAGGGTTGGTGCTGTTCCAGATTCCTAGGTCGGGGAGTATTTTTCAACCTCCGCCTCGGGGGGGGGGGGGGGGGAGGGGAGAGGAGGAGGGTCTGCCACCAATCACGCAGGGGACACCCCCCACTCCCATGGGATGCTCCATTTGCCCCAGCATCACAGCGTTCACAAGCTGCGCCTGGTAACTCGAGATATGTAGAAAAAACATATAAAGCTGTGTCTATGTCCAATTTGCTGATTCTCCGAATCAGAACTGAATCTTCAGATTCGGTCAAATCAAAATCGGGACTGATTCGAATCAGCAAATCGAATCACTGCCCCCTGAATCGGGCCGAATCCCAATCAAATACTGCCTGCTTCGCACACCCCTATTTACTATGTCTGTCCCCCAGCCTGAAATTCCAGATCCTGAAGCGAGAGGGTGCCCTTGAGGGCTGTGCAAAGCTTTGGACCCTGATTCGATTCGGTGGAGATTTGGCCCGATTTGGTGGCCGAATTTCCGAATCTGAGGAGCCTTTAATCTCTCCAAATTGAATCGGAACCCTCTGAATTGATTCGGAGAGATTTGGAATGATTCGGACATAGAGACAGCTTTAAATGCTTTTTCTACATATCTCTAGGTAGCAAGGGATCGTGAATGCTGCAATGCTTGGGCGCATAGAGTGTTCCACAGAAGCATAGGGGGCTCCCCAGCGTGCTTGGCAGCAGACTTGGAAGTGGACCAGAAACACTTCCAGTCCAGCTCCGGGCCTGCCGGGGAGCACGCTGGGCCCCCCCACGCCCAGCCTGGTGACTGGTGCCTCGAGTCTGGAGGGGGCCCTGGGGTCCCTCTGTGGCCGACTGCCGAGCCGGGGAGGCACAGGGGGGCCCCCAGCATACTCCCCGGCAGACCCGGAAGTGGACTGGAAGTACTTCTGGTCCACTTCCGGGTTTGCAGCTGAGCATGTGGAGCCCCCCCGCAATCCTGTGGCATACTCCATGTGCCCCAGCACTGCAGTGATCACAAGCTGTGCCTGCTAACTCAAGGTATGTAGAGAAAACATTTAAACTGCATCTATGTCTGAATCGCTGCTATGTCTGAATCAGCATCGAATCCTCAGATTCGGATTCGGCCAAGTTGAATCAGAGACAGTAATCCGAATCAACGAATCTAATCAGTCCCCGATTCGGGCCAAATCCAAATCCCAATCAAATAGGGCCCGCTTGGCACACCCCTAGTGCCCAGGCTCTTCTATTACTGCTTTACAGAAGGCTCTAACCCAACATCACCACAGGCATGCATATTTCAAAGCATAATTTGGAAAAAAAAAAATTAGTTGCTTGTTCAGCTTGTAGGGAGAAATAGTTTGTGGGCAGAAAGCTATTTAGTTATGGCATCCTGTACCTTGCAGAGCGCAGTGAGATCTCTGTGCTTGCTCTTTACAAGGAACTCCGCAGTAATATCCCGAGGTGGTTTTACTTCAGATGCCTCCTTGTACTGTTGATGGAGCTCTCTAATCTTCTCTTTTAAATTCACCATCTAAAGTTGGGCAGGGGAAGGGAGAAAATCTTTCATGTCATTTAATGTACAAATGAAAATTCACTTCATACCAGCTGCATCTCGGGATATTGCTGACACTTCCTTTCTGTTAAAGGAGATATGAAATCTTTACTCCATCGAAATCCCACTTGAACAGAGGCAGGCAAAATACAGCCCACAGGCCAGATCTGGCCTGCCAAGCACTTTCATCCAGCCCACGGTGCCCCCCAATAAACTGTCTCCCACCCAGCCCTTCTGCCCACGAACATGGGAGCAAGGCACCCACGCATACGCACACCCTGCAACATACCCTACTGTGCCTCGTTCCCACCCTCATGGGAGGAAGAGCCTCCCCTTGCTGCAATGTGCAGCGCTGGCTGAAGCCACACACTGCCGGGGCACCAGCGCCGGGCATGAGCACCCTGAGTGCCCCCACCTGCTGCTGCGTCATGGGATGGGGGGGACTGCAGGGGTCCCCACACCCTTCCACCCTCCCCCACACCCCACAAACGCCACACATGCACACCTTGCCCCCACAACCCCCCCGCTACATACCCTATGCCCCCCCACACAGCCAAAGCCTCTCACAACCCTTCCCCACCCCCCAACCATCCTAGCACACAATATACAAAACTAAGAATTTATTGTTGAGTTATTATGCAATCCCCTCTACATAGAGTATGCAAACACAAGTCATGGCAAAAATACTTTTTGTAATAAAATTGAACTACATTGTAGTAGAAATTTGACTTTTAGTGTATGATTCGGTTTCTCTCTGGTTCTAAAATGGCAAGCCCCCTTCCCAAAAGGAGCATTTCTAGAGGACATGGGGAGGGACTGCCAGTGACAAAGGTTAGGGGTGCGACTTCTGGTCCCAAGGTGGCAACCAGGGGGTGGGGCAACTGTTGAGGGGAGGGGCTACCCATGCAGCCCTTGAAAGCTCAGCAAACCCCGTTAAGCAGCCCTCCACCCAAAATAATTGCCTGCCCCTGCTCTTGAAGAATCGCTCGTGCCAGGTTGCTAACCAATATAGCTATATCAAGTAACCACTTCTTCTAAACATTGTTTACTTGTCTGAAAGAACCTCAGTAATGGGGAGCAGGGCTGCGGGGTGGAAGAGAAGTGGGAAATAAAAGTCTCTCTCAAATGTTTGGAAAGCCCCTGCTCAACAAAACAACAGTAGTTTCCCCAGGGCTTGCCTGCCACAATACTGAGTGTCAATGTGAGCCAGTATCACTTTAAAATAGAATAGAATAGTTCTTCTGGTAATTTCATGTTTCAATATCCAGTTTTTTCCCCCAGACAATTTAAATACAATTATTAAGGGAAATTCCTGATACTAGTTTTTCCTGAAAGATCTTAGGAAGTCACTACCAAAAGTTAAGAAAAGGACACAAATAATAGTTGATCCATGTCTACCAGGAAGGGATAAGGCCTGACCTTGTTAAGAAGATCTTTTAACTCCTCCTGAGTTTTTACTATTTTTTTCCAGTGTTCGATCTGTTCATCCTTCACATGCTTCTCTTGCAATCTAGAAAACAGGAATAGAAATCAAGGATTCTTTCACTGGGAAATCCCAGCATTACCAGAAAAAAATAACCATCCCATCTGAGTTAGAATCTCTACCACTGAAGAGTAAGGACACTTACTGTATGACAACCTCCAAAGCCTGACCTAAGGAGACAGGCTTGTTATTAAGAACATTGAAGTCCAACTGATGACTGAGATAGGAGGTGGCTTCAAGCAACCGATTGAACTCCTGTTCCACCATTTCATCTTTCTCTTTAGGAACCTAAAAGTCAAAAAAGGCAATGGATTTGTCTTTGCAGTTAAAAAAAAAATGCACAGTGCACTAAAGCTCCAAATTATGAAAGCGTAAGGTGGAGCCTAGCAGATATCCAACTGGGTTTGTTAGAACTGAAATCCTAAAAAAAGTTAGAGCAATGATACTTCGATTTTATCTTCTATTGTTGAGTCAATATCGTTACCACATAGGCTTAATTAAAATAAAACCAGCTGCCTCAAGTACCTTCTCTTCAAATCAGAGTGCTACGTAGCGATAAATAAGGCAGGGTGCAGATCCACATGCTAATGTCACAAAGACATTACTATCTTGATCTAGGGTGATACTTTGTTTAAAAGCTTTTGTGGGCTACATACATGGATAAAGATGAGGAGAGGTATGATCAACTGCATCACACTTTTCAGAACAGATACTGCCAGCTCTTCAGGATGAGCTACTGTTCGTCCCCATTTGTGAGATTCAATCAACCCACTGAAGCTTCCTGAAAATAGTCTCCAGTGGGACTACTCTCCTTCCTCCTTTCCACCCACATAAGACTTCAACTATTACATTTCCCCTATCTTACCATCCCTGCCTTTTGTGGTAACAAGGTCATTTGGATTCCTCAGGCAAAAAGTGACAATCCCTTTAAAAAAATTCCAAGGGGAAAAAAATGTCTAGACTTACAGCTTGTCCATTAGCTTCATAAAGCGGACATTTTTGTTTGATCTTGGCCAGTTCCATGTTCACTTGTTTGCTGACCACAGCCATTGGATTCCCTCCTGCAAAAGGTCTGGTGTTAGATCCAAAATGAATGCAAAAAGTAAAAAGCTGTCCACAAAACCAATTCCAAAGCCAATAACAAATTCAATGCGCCTTTATATTAATGCAGAATGTCTTTCAATAAACAAGTAAAAACATTCAAATGTTGTGAAGATTTTCTCATGGCACCTCTTACCATAAGAGCCACCTCTTCCTAGCATTCAAGGGAAGAACTATAGGTAGGAAAATCTGATAAGTAAAAAAATCATCTCCAAGATGGCAGCAACAAGCAGGGCAGACTTGCAAGTTGATGGACTCAGGGATGCATAGATTAAAGAGCAGTGCAAAAAAACCCTGAAGGACAGAGGGAAGTTACAGCTTATAATACAGTTGGTTATATGGCAGAAAACTTGGTACATTTAGTTAGTGTGCCAAGAAGAGAAACAAATCCCAGAATCAGTACAAATGAACAATTCAAACCACCACAATGATTTGGGGAGTTACTACTTTCTGGCTCTGGATCAAAAATACTGACCAATTATAATGCACTAAAAGCAACATCATTTGCTCTCTATCAACCTCGGATTCACACTTTTCGTTTCCTGTTGCTGTGAATACCACATTGCTGAAAAGCTATGGGTCAAGAAACCACTGGTTAACATGATTTAAGAGTCAGAACAGAATGAGATCAGGAAAAAGAAGAGTCTTCTATCTAGATCACACCTACATTTCCAGTGAACTGACTCCAATTACAGTGAAGACTACTTATCCTTCATCAGGGCATCATCACTATCCTTCATCATTGTGTGTTTGTTTGTTCATTCTTTTCTTTATTTTTTAAAATTAGAAAAACTCACCCAGACCTGTTACCACCATGGCTCCTAGATCAGCAACATAATTGCCTTTGCGAAATGTAGCAACTCTTCCTCCTACACGATCCTGTTAAAATTAAAATATACAATCAGCTATTTTATTCAGTTCAGATAAGTGATAAGATACTGTAACAACAAAACTGCTCTGAAAATCGTTATTCTGAAAAAACCCTACATACAAAGAGGGCTATCACAGCTACACTGAAGCTCTACCGTAAGTTTCTGAGCAAGTCTTCATTATATGAACTCACAGGTTCTCAACCCAGTCATACGAGTTTATGAAAACAAGCTTCTCAATCTCATTTAAAAAAAATGTTATGGGCATAGGGCAAACATGCATCTAGAGCACAATACAGAAAAGAACAATCCTCCAATGATGTGGATTGGGCTAGACTCCCATTCCAAATTTCAAGGACTAAATTGCTATTTTAAAGGTTATGTTTCAGAATGTAGCTGGCACAACCTAAAGATATTATAAATAAAATAAAATATTGTATGTGCATGCATGTGTGTCTACACATGCATACCATAGCAGTTTTCTGTACTGATAATCGTCTCAGTACCACCCCCACCAAAGTGCTTTAACCGCTGAAAATAAAACAAACTTTATATCTATTAATAGGTCCTCTCATAGATGAGATAATTATCAATACAAAAGATGACTATAGTAGAACTGATACTTGAGAGAGTTGGATCCCTAAGCCCACTGATGATACGTGAACTGAGGCGTAGATCACCACAACAAAAATGTGTGTTGGACCAGAGGTCTCCCAGCTGTCTGATGAGGCTTTTCGGGCAAAGGACACCACCTTGCCAATCAGATGCACAGGGATCTGGCTCTGCTCCCGCTGACCAAAGAAGTAGCACCCTTTGAAGTAAACGCCACAGCAAGCAGCAGAGAAGCTGCTTAATTCATCACAAATTGAGTTGCAAACCATCCCTATACCAAATCCAGTAAATTCCTGTAAATTAACGTCTGTAATATTTAATCAGTGATTTGGAAGAAAATATGTAGTTACTAGTGATAACCTGCAGATAGCAAAGGATAGTGGATAATAAAGACAGATCACTGATAAACTAAAACTGGACAAAATCCAACTGCAAAACCATGCATGTTGGGAGTGGGAGGAAAATGGAGGTCACCCAGAACTGGAGAATAGTTTGGAGAATGTGACTCATAAGAGACTCATGAGTTATTGCAAGTCAAGTGAAGAGGAACATCCTCGTGGAAAGGTGACAAGAGCATTATCCTTGAATACATAAAAACATGAAATATTAAGTAAGATAATAGTATGTCTGCTGTTAAAACTGAACAAACTTCAGATAAACAAGGAAGTGATTCATGGTCTAAAGAGCTCAGTGCATTAAGCTTAGCATAAACGTTTAAGAGATTATTTGATAATGCTAAATACCTACTTAAGGGCATTAACCTAGCAAAGGCATAACAAGAGGCAACAGCTAAAAGTCAAAGTTTAAACTGGAAAAAAGATTTAATGTGTGCAGTGAGTGAAATCAACTTTTAACATTTATCAGGGTTTGTTTTTTATTAGCAGGAATTTATGGTTTTATGAATCATATCCATCTCTCTCTTTTTTAAGGAGATGCACCCTGGTTCACAAATTGGAATACGTGCATGAATCACTGGATAAAATTCCATCAATTGCATTAACAGGATTTTAGAGGTTTTCAAATGACCTTAAAGGCTATTCATCAATGAAGTAGCAAGAACCAGCAAGAAGAGAAGAAATGAACATATAACAAAGAAATGGCTACAAACTGAACATGTTTAGACAGAAAAAAATTTCAAGGACTAAATTGCTATTTTAAAGGTTATGTTTCAGAATGTAGCTGGCACAACCTAAAGATATTATAAATAAAATAAAATATTGTATGTGCATGCATGTGTGTCTACACATGCATACCATAGCAGTTTTCTGTACTGATAATCGTCTCAGTACCACCCCCACCAAAGTGCTTTAACCGCTGAAAATAAAACAAACTTTATATCTATTAATAGGTCCTCTCATAGATGAGATAATTATCAATACAAAAGATGACTATAGTAGAACTGATACTTGAGAGAGTTGGATCCCTAAGCCCACTGATGATACGTGAACTGAGGCGTAGATCACCACAACAAAAATGTGTGTTGGACCAGAGGTCTCCCAGCTGTCTGATGAGGCTTTTCGGGCAAAGGACACCACCTTGCCAATCAGATGCACAGGGATCTGGCTCTGCTCCCGCTGACCAAAGAAGTAGCACCCTTTGAAGTAAACGCCACAGCAAGCAGCAGAGAAGCTGCTTAATTCATCACAAATTGAGTTGCAAACCATCCCTATACCAAATCCAGTAAATTCCTGTAAATTAACGTCTGTAATATTTAATCAGTGATTTGGAAGAAAATATGTAGTTACTAGTGATAACCTGCAGATAGCAAAGGATAGTGGATAATAAAGACAGATCACTGATAAACTAAAACTGGACAAAATCCAACTGCAAAACCATGCATGTTGGGAGTGGGAGGAAAATGGAGGTCACCCAGAACTGGAGAATAGTTTGGAGAATGTGACTCATAAGAGACTCATGAGTTATTGCAAGTCAAGTGAAGAGGAACATCCTCGTGGAAAGGTGACAAGAGCATTATCCTTGAATACATAAAAACATGAAATATTAAGTAAGATAATAGTATGTCTGCTGTTAAAACTGAACAAACTTCAGATAAACAAGGAAGTGATTCATGGTCTAAAGAGCTCAGTGCATTAAGCTTAGCATAAACGTTTAAGAGATTATTTGATAATGCTAAATACCTACTTAAGGGCATTAACCTAGCAAAGGCATAACAAGAGGCAACAGCTAAAAGTCAAAGTTTAAACTGGAAAAAAGATTTAATGTGTGCAGTGAGTGAAATCAACTTTTAACATTTATCAGGGTTTGTTTTTTATTAGCAGGAATTTATGGTTTTATGAATCATATCCATCTCTCTCTTTTTTAAGGAGATGCACCCTGGTTCACAAATTGGAATACGTGCATGAATCACTGGATAAAATTCCATCAATTGCATTAACAGGATTTTAGAGGTTTTCAAATGACCTTAAAGGCTATTCATCAATGAAGTAGCAAGAACCAGCAAGAAGAGAAGAAATGAACATATAACAAAGAAATGGCTACAAACTGAACATGTTTAGACAGAAAAGTAGGGGAAAAAAAGATTTCTAACTACAGTAAAATCTCCGTTATCTGGCAAGACTGGGGAATGTCGGGTGCTGGTTATGTAAAAATACAGGATATCTAAAATTTCAGGAGTGGGGGAAGGGGGCTGTACACAGTGGCAGCAGTAGCGGGGCAGGGTGGTTGCACACAGCAGTGGTGCGTGTTGATTGCATGGGGCAGCGGCACAGGGTGATGGATGATGGTGGCATGGTGCTGGTTAATAGAGTATTCCAGCTAGCAGAATGCTGGATAACAGGGATTTTATCCTGGTATCAGACAAATGCATTTTAGAATGGATTTCCAAGCAAAGTGGTGGGGGAAAAAATCTGAATTTAAAAGGATGAGAGGATGGTGTTAGGCGAGGAGTTTTTGGTTCAGTGAGTGAGATGTGTTTCTATGAAGCACCATCAGATTGAAGTTCAAACTAACAGGAAACACATCAAACCAGCTGGCTTGAGTGAAGATTGAGCTTAAGTGCATATTAAGCAGTTTTACCACCTGAAAAAAAAGTCACACTCCACGGTGTTAAGATGGCACATAATGGGTTCAGGTGAAAGGCCAAGCCTTACACCAAAAAAAGGTCTCTGAAGAAGGGAAGGATCTGAACACAAGTTCACCACTGGTAACAGTGACTTTCACAAAATCCATCATTTTTTGTGGTTCAACCTCAGTGAGAGAGGGAAACGGAAGTATCTGCAGCTCAGACAAAATGAAGGCAAATACAACATGCACATTCCACATACCTGGGTCTGGTGCCACAGAACTACCTTGCATTGAAGCAAGAACGAAACTGGTTCACTTAAGCTGAATTTCACAAAGGATATGACCAAACTGCTGGATCCAGGGTTTTCTTTCCAAAGGAAAGCTTTCCTAACCCAAGCTTATCTAGCTAAAGTTACATGGAAGATTACGTTATCTTCACTGTAGGACAAAACTCTCTCTTTTCAAAGTATGGGACTTTTAGTATTGCCTTGATAGTTCTATGAAACTGCAGCATGTAGCTGCTTTATTCTATACAGATTGCTGGAAAATGTAAAGGAATAAACAAGATGTCCAGAGTCACTGGACTCTGAGATAAAACTCTTTTAATGAAAAAATGCATCCAACTGCCAAAGACTTGCCTCTCACGATCATGGAGAAAGGGGGAAGATGTTAAGGACTTTCCTAATTATATTCTTGTGCCTGGTCAAACAGGAGACAGCATAGGCTGTAGCCCTGCTACAAAAGGCCAGAAAAATGGCAGCAGCATAATCTTAAGAGGCAGGGGCTGATGCCCTAAGTGGAGAAAAAAAATATATATTTCTGCTTCTGAGGTAAAGGGAATCTAGCCACATACCGGCCCATCTAGATCACCACTGGCCATTCATATGGTTTTACCAGTTCTTTCAGGGTGCTCCCCATATAAATGTGTAATTAGTTCTGGTTACTGGCTAAATTTAACTGAATTCTCTTTGAACAGCAAGTCCATACCCTGGCTTCCAGAACGGTGACATCCATCCCAAAACTCTGCAATTGACGAGCAGCTGCCAAGCCAGACACTCCAGATCCTATAATGATCACTTTTCCAGTCTTCTTGGCTAGAGAGATGAAAGCAAAAATTAAGAAGGGCAAACATACATCGTTACAGGCCCAAGAGTCTAAATTCAAATCGAGCCCTGAAGTTCTCAAGTAAGAAATCAGCTATTTAATTTCTTAATTGCTAAGTATAACATTCTTGTAACTAGGTAATATTCAGCGCTTGGGATGCAGATATACACAAAGTGATTGTTACCGAGTAATTTGCCCCAGATTTCACTCTAATAAATTTACTCTGTATTAAAGAGGGGACACATGATCAGCTCTTCCAAGCTACCTGTCTGCAGCAGGCACTATTACACCTATACCTGCCAGCACCCTAGGTCACAGAGAAGCCAGCCTGCGTTGAGTAAACAGATACTGGGAATGAATAAAATCGATTATGGCAGCAGACATCATGCATTCTGTATAGAAGCACTCCTTCACTACAATGCCCTCACTTCCTGTTTCTTCAAGGCACAATTTTACCCAGGAAATGTGATTTATTATGCAACAGAACTGTGCTTCATGTGTCCACTCCCACTTGCATTACACAGTCAAGCCAATTTACTACATAGCATGTGTCATCTGTCTGCACCCTCAGTAAACAGCAGAGGTTAACTGGGAATTTCAGGTAAACTACGGCGAAAGTTAACAGCAGCTACTTGAACAGAGCTTCTACACTGACTGTTCATGAAAGGCCAAATGCTCCACAAGTACTTGACCATCTGGCCTTGCATGAATGTGACTAAGTCTGCTCCTTAATAAAGTTCACATACACTAAGATTTATAGTGCTCTGAGGTCGTGTTGGGGGAGCTAAATTTCTACAGTGCTGCTCCCCTCCCATTAATCATTTACCAATTGTCAACTATGGAACCTTTCATGCTGTCACTGAACTGTTATTAAAATGCTAAATAAAACACTGCAAGGGGAAAAAATGGAAAAAGAGACAAACAAGCCTTAGAGCACAATTGTCAAACTCAGGAGACAGGGGCACGGTCTAAGGGTTTGCATACACAGAATGCACTGCTTTAAATATCAGTAATAAATGGAGGAGGCAGGCAGGAGATTTTGCAGGCTGATCACCGTCACGGTTTTCATGTTTTTTTGCAGCAAGACCCCCCCCATGCCACTGACTGGCCAAGGATGGCAGCCCCGCCCCACGCTGCTGATTGGCTGAGAGGGCTGCCATTCATGTGGTTCTGCCCCTTGATGCTGATTGGTAGAGGTGGGCAAGGCTACACAACAGGCAGCCCACTCGGTTGATCAGCATCAGAGAGGAGGGGGCAATCATCATCTCGGCTCCCTCTGTGCGCCAGCGGTTGTGAAAACTGCTGGCTCCCACTAGGGAGCTAACATTTTAATTTTCAGTGTGGTTTTATTCTCCTGGAAATTCTGCCAGAAATTGCAGGGAATGCGGCTTTTCATGGAAACTGCCTCAAATCGTGGTCTAGAAGAGAGGTTACCGAAGAGGACGTAGAACAGGGATTGTGATTAGGCAGAAAAGTGTCCCCCAGCTGACATATTTAGGACCCACTAGCCTGTGGCAATCTGGACCCAAACAGTTCCTGAAGGATCAAAGATGAAGACCAGAAAGGTAGACCGCAGTTTATACTGGAAGGAGGCTTCAGGCTTAGGGACAAGCGAGTCAACAAGCTTGTTGGGAGAGGCTATTTGGCCTTAGAGAAACTGTCTTTTCTTTGGCTCTGGAGAATGAATGCAAAAATGATCGCTGGCATGCTTCTAAAGAAAACCTGCCAAAAAGCCATACTTAAACAGATAGGAATCTGTCTTTGAGGTAAAAAACCGGCAACCTCCAAGGACAGCAGGAACACTCCATCTTGAGCCAGGTAATGGTGGAGGGGAAATGAAAAGCAGAAGGCATGCAAAGCACGGCTCCAGCACACCAGATGAATACTGCTAAGCAAAGGCTCTGATCTCAAAATGTGTGAAGCACATGCACACCTCACAGTGCAAAGTACACATGAACAATTATTCGAAGGGGATTTTTGTTGTTTTTTTCACGCATCACAACTACCATCTGTACAAAATTTGAAAAAAATGGTTTAACCTCAATCTGTTTATTAAGCAAGGAAAATATATTGTTTTTGCACAACAAAATGGTCATTTATTAGTTACTTCATTTGGGTTAAGCACATTGCAAGTGTGTATAACACTTGATATGTAAAGATGCCAACAAAAAGTAAGAAAAAAATTCAGCATGTAAAATCTTCCTGTCTGGTGCTAAGTGAATTTACACAAGAAGCACTCATGATGAGGAGTGACAAAGGAATTCAAATACACAAAATACCTTCAAATTTTTCAAGCAATTTTCCTGGAACTACATTTTATTTATCCAAAAAGGAAAATCTGAGAACCAAACCAGCCATTAAACAAAGTGCCTTTATTACCCAGATATTAAAAATAAAGCCCAAAATGTGACTTAATAAATCCCAGGAAAGCATAATTATTTAATCTGAAATAAATTTATGAGCTGCTTACTTGGAAGGGGCTTTACCCGTTTGTAGATGCCAAAGTTGATCAGACCATGCCGCTCCAGATAGCTGTGTACTCTATGAACTAGCACGGTGTCACCTACAGAATAAAAAACATTAAATTATGTATGCAATTACTTTGTACAAATAATTCATACTTACACACTCATATGGGACTGCTTTGTGACAGGAATATTTGGAGTATAATGGTCCCAGTCTAAAAATGGTCACCACGTTCCACGCAGTTTAATGGCAGGATGGGAAATGCTTTGGACATTTATACATGTACTTTTTCACACTGCAATGCATCAGAGATATGGCACATCTGAGCAGGCTCAATCTGAGTCTGCTCTGCACACAAGCTTACGCGCACCAAGCTGTCGCTTGCACTTGTATAAGTGGTGAGATGCAAGTCAGTGCGAAGAAAATGGCAGCAGCCTGCTTTTGAACTAAAACACCTTTGATGTATTTTAGTTTAAAAGTGGACTGCTGCCATTTTCTGTGTGCTGACATGCATTTCACCGCTTATACAGCTGTTGCAGCACCAAGTGCTTTTCAAAATGCCCAGTGGTGTGGCACATGCATGTATAAAAATGACCTCTGAGACCAGTAAGATGACAGTAACATGTCCTTTTAATAATTTATAGGACGATTTATATTAGAAACTAGTAAATATATAAGAGAACTCATTACTCAAAGGATGAAGCTCAGCCTTACAAAAAATAATAAATCACTCTCACATGCCATGATTATGCAATCCCAACTCCCTACCAAATCAGCAAGATTGACGAGCAACAGCAATGCAGGGGAAAAAAGTAACCAACAAAAATCATGAGCTTGTATCAAGAAACACTTGACTTACTGTTATAAGGTGCTTCTAACTGTTGAAGAGTCGCTTCGAACGTCAGCTGAACCTTTGGGTTGTCCAACCAAAGCTGTAACTGTATTTAAACAAAACCAGTATGTGTGATATGTTTACATGGAGAGATTCAGACTGAAAGTATACCTTGACTTTATAAAACACTGCAACTGAGTTTCAACTTATAAATCAAAAAGCTCACCCTTTACTGAAATACTTCTCAGCTATCCCCTTTTTCATTTTTCTTAGACAGTAGAATTCACTGATTTATTTTTTTTTTGCCAACCCAAAAAAAGAGAAAATGATGTCCCCAGCAAACACATTACGGTTACTAAATGGACATGCTGGAATACCACGCAATCTTAACTGAGCTTGTTCGTGCATAGAAAAAAAAAAAAATCAGTTAATTTCAGCATTTCCTAACTTCTGGTGTTTGGATTTCCAACTTAAGTGTTCTTCCCAAGCAGTTTCCCCATACGAGTTAGAGGTATTACCTATCTGACTGGCTGCAATACAGGAACAAAGGTCAGAATGGACCTCCTTGGCCCTGCACTCGCAGGCAATCATTTACCCCAAGAATCCCCCTAATTACCATGCCCAGCCTTTACATACAGCTACACAGCACAACAGCAAAAATACTAACATGCTTCTAACCCTATAACAAGCAGAAGAGAAGGCAGCACTTTCAGTCCCCTGCCACTGCAACAAGAGGGGTTGATTACTATATGCTCAAAACGATCCTTCAAAAAGGATTGTGCTGCATACTACATAGCAACCTTGTGGGTTTTCTCTTGCTATTAGCCCCATTTATATACCGACTGTATGAGAGACAGCCTGTTCTTCACCTCTCTCTCATGCATTTTCTGCTGGGAAGGCACTTCTCCCTGGTGAATCAGGCCCTACCCATACAGGTCTATTCCCAGTATTGCCACAAAATCTTTGTGCTGCTAGAAAAGTCCATTAAATCAAACTTAACACACATTGTCTTAGTGCCCTCATCTCTGCAAGACTTAAAAGCCTAAAGAATTACTGGCTGTTGGAAAGCTTGTGCCCCAGGGCTCTAAGCATGTTGCTCTATACTATCTGCAGCCTCTTACATGGGTATAAAGGGGCAAAATCCTCCCCACCCACTTTACCTAATGAGAAAGACTAAAATACCCAAAATATAGGGTAATAGAGAAGCAGACTCAACAAGGGGAAGAGGACATTTTTGGAACTCAGGACGTCTAAGGAACAATTCTCAGGTTGACTTGTTTTTCAGACTTTCCAGGTTGCAAAGGTGCTTCAGTTGGGAATGCATAAGCACTTTTTCCCCCCCCAAAAAGTAAAATATGTTTTATCGCTCTCAAACAACAGCATCCAATGGTATTTTTCAAGCCTCATTAAGAAACTCAATTTTAGCTTGAGATTGAATAAAGTTTCTACACTAAATAAAAATTTTCTAGAAGTTAAAAAACCAAAAAAAAAATAAAAAATCTAGCAATAGAACGGCATCAAACTTTAGAGCATTCATGGCATCTACAATTCAAGGGCAACACCAGTTAAGGATTACCCTATATTGCTGCAACCCAGAGCTAGATAAAAACTAGTTTAATGACCAGTGCGATGGGGTTTCTGAAATGGAACAAGACCACCAACTTATCAAACCACCATCAGATTGTAACTACTATTCATGGGAGTCATTCTTAGGAAGTTATTAGAAGATAAGAAATTCTTATACTTCTCATCAGTGTTCCCAATAACTTGACACTTACTGTGCGGTTTCTGATATATAAAAACACCTTCTGAGTCTGCTGTGGGCCACTGATTATGTCTGGGAAACAGGCAGCTTCTTGAGATGTCATACGATCATGTGGAAGTCTGCTCTGGAAAGCTGCCCCTTCCACACCTACAATAAAAAGAAAGATTGTCTACAAGTAATGCAAAAGTAACCAGTACATACAAAGGCTCCCCCTTTCTACTAAGGCACACTGCATGCAAATATCCTAGCATGTGCCAGATGATTGCGTCTCACATGTTCACCAGTTCCTTTTACTTATTTCTGCAAGCCAGCTGTCTCTCAATTAGTCATAGAATTGGAAGAGACCTCCAAATCCCAGCATGAATGCAGGAATTCCTAGACGATCCCACCCAGACTCCTCTTGAAAACTTCCAAAGAAGGAATTTCTATGACTTCCCTGGACAGTCTATTCCACTGCTTTACTCTGCTAACAGTAAGGAAAATTTTCCTGTGGTCTTATGACAATCTACTCGGTTGTATCTTAAAACCATTGCTTTGCATCCTGGCCCCTGTGGCAAAAGAGAACTGTTCTCCCTCCTCTTTAGGGCACCCTGTCAAAGATTAAAAGCCACTATCGTGTACCCCACTTAATCTTGCATCAGTAGTTTGAGTTACAAATGTGAATTGAGCTCTACCCTGTGCAAAAACTACAGCAGAAGGAAAAAAGCATCTAAAAAAATTAAGGAAAAAAAAAAAGCAAAAGAAAATGAAAACTGAAGTGTTTAAAAGAAACAACTGATTTAGTTATTTTGAGTATATGGTTTCCGACTTCTTCCACCAAATACTCAAGCTTTACAAACGTTTGGGTGCTCCTCCTAGGCTAACAGTTCTCTTGACTTAAGGACAGTGTATACTTTCCTGTCACCTTTTCTCTAATTTCACAGGTTTTACCTACATTAAGCCTGATTTAACCTTGGCTTTTTTTCTCCTAAATCTAGAAAAAATCCATATACCATCTGTTCCTTTAATCTAATCCACACAGCCACAGCATAAGCAGTGGTAAAATGTGATTCTCTACAAATGTCTTTGCTGTATTTTCTTGAGTGAAATAAAAGGAAAGGATTTCTATCGTTTCTTCAGGAACTCTAAGTTAAAACCTAAAAGACTGGACAAATTAGGATCCAATTCTCAATATGGGAAGACTCTTCAAAGACACTTGCACATTTAGTATGCTTAGAACAGATGAAAATCAACTTGAGGGGAGAAGAGAATTATAAAAAATATCCAGATGATATTTCTCAAGTTTGGTAGACTGCAAACTAGCTGTGCACAAATAATAGTACACAAAGATGTCTCTGCATAAGGAGCATAGCTGGATTTCACTTCAAACGTGCATCTGACTACGGCAAAAAGCAAAACAAGTACACGTAGATGTGAACCCAAGCGAGACGAGTATAAAAATCTTTAGATTTTGTTATGGAATATAACCTAAGTAGGTAAGAAACTTGGGTAAGAAAAGAGGAGATTCAACCTGGAAAAAAAACAACATGCCAACATATTCAAAGAATAAGTGCCACATACATATAATAAAAGGAAAATGAGTAAGTATTGATGCTGGAACTACTATCAGCACCCACGAGGTGACAGTAAGCATCAAATGAGATATAAGCTTCTAGTGTATTATGGAAAAAGACATTTGTATAAAATGTCTGGCATTATGTGAGAGGAAGACAGAAGGATCATCTTCTCTGTACAGCCCTAGTGAAACTATTCTTATGGCATACCACTAAGTTTTGAGTAGGCTTATATCACAAAATTGAAGATAATTAGATGCAGTTTAAAAACAACTGTTATGGGACAGATATTAATTTATTTTGGAAAGATAAGAACCAATTATCAGTAGACTGCCTACAGGGACAACTTAGGATGTGGAAAAAACAAAAAACAAACCAAACCCAAAAAACTGTCTAGGTGGATCTAGACGGTTATCTGGGAATAAAACAAATGAAGAATAGGCAAAATTATGCCAAATATCAGATTTCCTGACTGCAATATTTATTAAGCCATAAAGTAACTTTCTGTTACAGAGGGTATAATGTCACTCCCCAAGACTGGTTACCCAAGGCATTGCCTAATCTATAGCTCTTTCCCACTGATCTATGACAAGGGTCAGCATCTTATAGCCAATGGGCCAGATCGTGAAGGTCTGATCCAGCTTGGGGGATTGGTGGCACAAAGCTGCACCATGCCACCCATCTGCTCCACAGCCCTCCCTTGCGCTCTCTTGCACCCGTGTTGACCCTCACTGCAGAATCTGCCCATCCCCAATGCCCTTGGGCATTTCCAGGGGGCAGAGATTTGCAGCCTGCTGCTCAGGCTGGGTTGCAAGAAGTGAAAGGTTGCTAACCTCTGATCTAAGACCGAGATTCAATGTGTGAATAACCATGTATGTAAAAAACACAGAGCTACACTAACAAATACTGTCAGATGCAAGCTCAAGATACAAATTCTCTACAGTACTTTTAGTATAACTAACAAAAATAAAAGTACCCTTGATATCAAGTAATAGTTAAACAAAAAAAAGCAACAAAGCAATTCCCAGACAGGCCAACCAAGCAGAATTAAAAAAAAGCAAAAGCTGAACTAGACTGTTTTATGAGCCTTTCTGGACCTTCAGGAGATTTTTTGTCAAAAGAAAAGAAAAAGCCACACCGAAACAAACCTACTGGCCAAACAAGTACTAAAAAACTCCCAATAAAACTTGGAGAGAATTTGGAGATAAGCCAAGCCCCACGTTCCTTGGTAAACTAGAAAGTAGCTTACTCAACATTTGTATTTTATGAATCCTAAGAGCCAGAACTCCTGCGGCTACAAAGAACCGTGGGGAAAGCACCTTCCATTCCCATAAAAGGTCTAGAGGTATGGTCCAAACAGACTGTTTATGGATTCAGCAGATATTAAGAGAGAGGACCTGGAACTAGTATGAAATAGATGTATAATACAGTCGACAGGCAAATAAGATGTTTCAATATGGCTCAATCAGAAGACCTAATTTAAAACTAAAGCCTTTCTAAGCAGATTCCTTGCAAAAAAACCCACATATGAGATTGCTTTCAGGCAGGTGAAATCATTTAGCATTCATCATTTCAGGAACTATGGTTTCTAAAAGGAATCTGAAGAAGGGATGGAAGGAGTCTCAACCCACTGTTCAATACACATTATTTTGCATAGAAGGCTGGCAACCTCTTTGATTGCCACAGGGACGCATTTAGAGATTCTCCTGTTCTTTCTCTCTCTCGCACACACACACAATTTGCCAGCTCCCTATTCCAAATATCAACAATTCTTAAGGATTCAATCTAGCTCATGGCTTAGTAGTCTTCTTTCTCATACGACTCATGCCAAAAGATTCTGTTGGATGCTGCCCCATTTAAAACCCTTTCTGGGGCCTTTTCAGAGCACTGGAGGAATTTTTCATTTGAGGGCAAATTATTTTGCTCTCAACACCTTCCAAGAATTAATTAGCAGTCGCTCCACTCATCCAAGTGGGTAAAGCACATCCTTAGAAATGGCTCACTACTGATGCAATATCAAATTTGCAAATATATCTAAAAATGAAAAAGCGCTGTGTCCTTTCTGTCAGCCTGAAGTCTGTAATATTTAACGGTAACTCAGTATGTATTGGTACTGATGTCCAAAACGTAACCAGACTCCTTCATTTAAGTATGGTGATGATGCATCCCTGGGATGATATCCTGAACTCTGTTTCCTTCAAAGAGGTTTACTTCTTCAAAGTCCAGAATGGTTCTTAGAACCCATAACTCCTTTCATTAAATTAAATCTCTCACTCTTCAGATAGCACAGACAAAGTGGCAGGAAGATGGCCGTTTTGGTTATTGCTACTATTTTGGTAGCACTGTGAAAGTACTTAAGAATCAATTTTAATGTACACCCCAGATCTCAATAATTTGGATCATCTATTAGATATAATTTATGACCCAAGTCTATTAAAAAAGAAAGCTAATCTACCTAGTAGGGTAAGTCTTCGGGGCTAAACACCGGGACACTGCTCAGGAACTCAATCCTCTCAAAAATCTACAAGCTTCTTCAAAAAGGACCCAGAGTTTCTAAGCCTGGGGCTCTCGATACCAGTCTAATGGGTAAAAGCCAGCTAGGCAAGAAATACCAGTTCTCACATTTGAACTCCTCCAAACATGGAGAGGAGTGGAGGGCTGAGAGATCGGCCTGAGGGATTTCGGTGTAGCTTTAGTTTCTGTTTCCTTAGATGTTATAGCCTTCAATTGCATTTTGAAAAGATCCCTCCCTTTCTCAACAGGTGAGTATAAACTTCTCCTGAACATCTTGCTAGGATCTGGACACCCACACCCATGCGCACTTGCAAGCATCAATCCCTAACTTGGCGGCTCTTGCTACTAAGTGGCAAGCATCAAACGCCACCCTCACCTGATGCTTGGCCGTCTCCAAACCCTCCAGAATTGTCGTCTTGAAGTCCTCCTGCTTGCCCTGTGGAAGGAAAGAGGAGAACTCAGGGACCTTACTCCATAAGTTAAATCATAATGGACATAAAGGCCCAGCAGCTGGCGATTCAAGTATTAAGCTTCACCAACTAACTAAAACCATTTTCTGAGAATTTTATCTTCTGGAATCTATCCGGGGCACCAAACTCTAGTCTTCTACAGCTTTCTCCTCATTACTGAAGCCTTTTACATCAGGTTCTTGTGGGAAACTTAGAAGTACATAGCATGTAGTATTCCTGATGGCTAAACACTTATGATCAGCTTTATTAACAGCTGGGAGTGGAATAATAAGATTACAAGTCTTACTACCGGTCTGAAGATTGGATGGATGGGTACAGCCAGAACCTCTGGGTCTGAAGCTGCAAACGTTGGGACAATCTTGCTCTGGATATCCCTGCAGTTCCCTAACTGAAAGAGGACAGTGTGAACCATTCTGTAAAGCCTCTTCCTTCTCTTCCACAAACCTTTCCTCGAAGCTTGGGAGAAGAACCATGAATCCTATGAAAGGTTCAGGCCAACATTATCTGCTTCACTGCCCCTGGTTCACCTACAATTCATCAGAACACCAAGACAACCTTTGAAGTTGAATGCTTCAATACCGATGATGCACAGATCATGAACATGGACATCTATACACCCAGTGCTGTAAGGCATTTATTTACTGAACAGTTTCAATATATCCCGAGCTGGAAGCATGAGGAAATGGAAAGCATCCAGCTGAGAGATATAAAAGGGTCTAAAATTACCTGAGCCTGTCAACAGGTTCTAAACAATAGACCTGCCTGGACTGAAATATTATTTGGAAACTGAGTAAACCCAAGAACAGGGAAAGTGCATCTATAATGCACACAGGAACAAGCTGGGAGGTGTCGCCTTCTACTGAACCACTAACCTTCAGAGGACAAACTATATCAGAGGTTAGCTCGGAGGAGACGTGTTTCTATGATTAGATGTTGCTATCTTCTCAGCCCAAATAAACCCAGGAAATAGTGGGATGCTTTGGAAACACTTCAGCACTGTTTGGAAGTCTAGACTCATGTCAAGGCTCCTTCAAAGCAGAGTGCTTCAAGGGAATGTCCTGACACCCAGCAGACCAAGTAACTACTCCTTCACTGCAAACATCTCATGTATCGAGTGGAACAGATTTATAGGGCTCAAGGTAGCTGGATGGGACAGCAGCCTTTTCCTAGGTCCTGATGGTTCAAGGTGACATCCTCAATCAGACTGCTCTGACATCCTCAATCAGACAGTTGACTACCCCAAGGTTCAGCACACAATGGTTCAAATTCTTTGTTAGGGTTTGATGGGTCTTTTTGCTGTAGCTGGGATACAATTTGAAGTTATTAAATTTGCTTTTTAATCCTCGTTCAATTAAGAATTCAATTCCCACTCCAAATCTAATCTCTTAATAGTAAAATGAAAGATATTTGTATCCTTTCGCATACTACTCATGTGCTTAGAACTCCCAAGTTCACAAGGAAAATAAAATTAGACAACAGGAAACAGACAATCAAAGAAATGTAAACTAACAATTTGAGAAATAAAACTCCAAAGAATCTCACAGAAGCTGCTTTAGGGCACTTGACATGCATGACCCAAGAATGAGATGCCCAAGAAAAGTATTAGTTATCTCTATGTTTCCTCCAGAGATGGTGCCAGTCCACTCTCATATAACAGTACTAATATACATGCTGCATGTGGCTTTGCAGAGCCCCATTTTAAGTTTATCCATGGTGGAGGAGTGATACTTTTGAGCTATTTATATGGGGTACTGTTAAGAGAAATTCATTTCCTTCATTTCCAACTGTTGCACTTCATACTAAATTTGCCTAAAAAGGGGTTGCTGGGGAGGGCTGAAAGCTAAGTAAGCAGAAAGGTCTGCTACAGAATTTTAGGTCTAACCATTTACACAGATTGCTAATACTGTATCCTTTACAGAAAATCTAAATTGTACATGACATACAAGTGTGCACACTATAACTTTAACTATATTGATAATCATCAAACTATGAATCTACTTGTATGTTGCTACGTATTGGTAACCCATAAAAAGAAGCCTGAATCAAGTGTAGACCAAAAAAGAAAAAAGGCTGAAGTGTTAAATAATCTTTTCAATTCTTCTCACGTGACCATGAAGAACATAGGATAAGAAAAGGAAATAAGCATTCACAGGGGACAGAAATCTGGTTTAACTAACAACTTCTAAGACCACTGGCGAACCAGTTCACACTGGCTGCTCAGAATCTCAACAAAACAAAAAGAAAAAATAGTTAAAATTGACCAAGTAGGGGAAAGATCCAAAGCCTGCTCTACTACCTCTAAAGGTCCTGGACTACATAAACGGAGATGTAGCAGGGTAAAAACTAAAGGTGCTAACTATGAAAAGGGCCGCAAAAAAACCCAACAAAAACCAAGAACAAAAAGACTATTCCTGGCTCTCCCCTATAGCACTGGTAATACTTCGCACTCATATTTCAGCAGTAATCGTACTACCTGTTTGTATTTAGAAGTTTAAGTGCATGTGTACTGCTATTGATAAAAAGGGCTTTAACAAGTTTAGGGGTCATCCATAAATCCCTTGCCATATTTGAAGGTAACAGTCAACATGCAACAGTTTGCAGAAAATCACGGTCAACAATTAGCATCCTTGGGTATGACCACACGATTTAGAGGTAACACACCCCAAAAGCAGCTGATACTAACCAGGACAGGGGTTGCAACGTAAGAACTGGAAGGTACTCTAAAGACAGTATAGGAGGAGAGACTAGGTAGGACCAGGAACAGCTTGCCATACCTAAATAGGGGTCAGATGGACAATCATATGGGCCATTTGTAAACATGCTCACCGTTTTCTAAACAGTGTTAACTGATTTGCATCACACAGTTCAAATCAAATTTCAATTTGAATGACAGGTTAATAGACAATCACTGACCACCAGGGAGGTTTCTGTGCATTTCTGTACTTCTGCAGCAGAGAGGGCAGGGGGCAGAAGACACCACAAGCAAAAACACCACTCAGGGCCACAAAACTGCACTCACTTAGTACACCTGGTGGTGAGCACAAGCAACAGCAAGCCCTTAGATACCTGCCGTGTATACAGGTTAATTAATACAGCTTAAATTGCCTAGTGTGGGCTGCTGAGGATTCAATGAGGATTACTTAATTTGGATTTATAGATAATTTTCATTCGGACTACAGATGTCCATGTATATATAGTGACGGCTGTAGTCCGGATCAAACCTAGAAAAATGTAAAGTCTATAAACGGCCCATATGACTAATGTCCCTGCCTTCTATTTGACTTCAGACTAACGTGGGTTACTATCTCTACCATATATTGCAACAAGGAGAAAGTTTAGAAGCCCAACAGGTTTCAGGAAAAAGAGCTTTAGAAGAAAGCGATAGATTTTAAGAAAACAGTCCTAAACAATAAGAAAATGAAGGATCAAACCATAAAAGCAGCATGTGAGCAAAACATGCACATGTGTAGTTTGATTTTAAAAACACTAAGCAGAACACTTTAAAAAGGAGGGTTAGAAGTGGAAGGACAAGTAGAGGGATGAGGTATCTAAGCTGGATGAGTAGAACCTACAATACTAAAAGCCCAGAAATTACTTGATGGTACGACTATGGAAGAATTAAATGAGGAAAAGAGAAAAGACAGAGGCACAAAATGCTCCAGTGATTCTAAAAACAAACAAATCAGGGGGACCCAGGAAAATTTATAAGCTACTTTAAAAGCCCATATTGCTATAATCAAGCAAGACAAGGCTAAGATTATTGTAGTCATTAGTTTTCAGAAAGGTGAAGAGAGAGAGAGAGAGAGAGAGAGAAAGCAACTGAGTTTAAGGATAGGCATGATTTGTGCTGTGCTGCAGATAAATGATTTAGCCAATAAGGAAAAGAAAAACTGTCCCTAAATGATGACTATGAACAGATCCCAATGGGGAGCATTGGTAAAAAGCCTAAAGAAGTTGATGCTGTACAACCTGTGAACACTTTCATCCCTTTATATGGGGAGGAGAAGAATTTGTATAATGGTGGGGAAAGCGGCAGGGGGAAAAGCCTAAAGAAGTTGATGCTGTACAACCTGTGAACACTTGGGAGGGGAAGAATTTGTATAATGGTGGGGAAAGCGGCAGGGGGAAAACAAGCCATAACCTACCATGTAACAAATTCCTCATAACTCTATTTAGACATAAGGGCATCAGAGTATTAAAAAAAAAAGAACGCTCATAAGTCCGTCCTCAAGGGCCACATGAAAATGGTACTGGAAGGATTTTTCAAGGGGGAAAAAAAAAAAGTCAACAAAGTTTGGTTAAGCAGACCTGCAAGTTAAAAAGGGGTTAAATTTAACAGCAAGCAAGGAATTTACAGCTGAAGCTAGATACATTCAGTTGTCTTAAAACTTATGACCTGCAAAAGAAATTGAAAGGCAGAAGTATAAACAAAAATGGAAAGTTAACATGTATCCTGGCAATCCTTTGCCTGTAAGTGGACTAAATAATAGTTGGCTAGTAATACAAAACTACCAGCCTTCATTAACCTTTAAGAATCCAAGAATAACCTTGAATCTCATTAATACAATGAACTAAGGCCCTGCCTAAGAAATGCTCTTAAAGTCATGTATGTCAAGATAGATTTTAGACAGTTTTTTCTCTTTAATCTAACTTCGCCTCAATTTCTCCATTTTTTAGGGCTCCTGCAAAAGAAGGGGAAAAATTACTTCATTTGGTATAACAGTTGGGACCATGCGGGTCTTCTTTATTATTTTTGCTTTATACATAGTTTGTATGTCATGTGGTACATGACAGATAGAACATGATACTAGTTATGTAACTGGTTTACTTTTTAATTGGTTGCAACAAACATCAATTTTATAGACATAATGATGTTAAATATTCTTATAAATTGAAAATATTAGTAATATTACTATTGTTAGATCACAATCATCATCAATCACAATCAGTTGTATTTTCTGCAAGT